AAATTATAAAAAAGTTAAAAGTACAATGACTAACATTAGTCAAAAATAAAATGCAAATGACCAATATGATTTTTTTGTTAAAAATTTACTAACCATCATTTATTCAAACCATTAATTACTTATAATATAACTATACTTTAATTGTCAAATAACTAAAAATAATATTATGTTATTTTTGTGTAATAATTCCAAAATCCCTATTTTTATCCTAAATTCAACGACCACCACGAATGAAGGACTAACTACGATGAAAGAAGAAACGGAGGAGGAGGAGCTAGCCTTTGTAGAGGCAACATCGAATAATTACGAGATAGATAACTTAGANACTAACTACGATGAAAGAAGAAAAGGAGGAGGAGGAGCTAGCCTTTGTAGAGGCAACATCGAATAATTACGAGATAGATAACTTAGACAATTCACTTTTAGTATAGGGAATATTGAATATTGGGACTCTAATTAACCAATAACCGGGCTCGGTCTCCAAACCAATTGACACCACAATGCAAACCACAACACAAACCAAACACCACCCAAGTAGCACACGGGTTGCTCCACAGATTATAGCCCACAAAAGATTGGGGTGAGAAGATTACAGCCTAGAAGAAATAGCCACAAAGGTTAGGGAGAGAAAATGATCTCCCAAGTAAAGCACTAAACCAATGCACAAAGCAAAGAAGAGGAGGAACCAATTTTCTCAAGAATACACGGCTGCTCAACAATCTTTCACACGCTAAAACAGTAATGGACAACCAATAAACAGGTTAGGAATAAACATGGGCTTTAGGTCAAATAGTAGGGCCCGATAACAAATGGGATAATAGGCTACTTGGGTTGAGTCATGAGCAACACTAATATAATTAGGCTGCTTCAGATGACCCAAGTGGGTTACGTGATAGATTAGACAATCGTGGTGTCAATTCACAATTTCAGTCATCGGCCGAGGCCTATGAAGTATAATCCAACAATAAACCGGTTTAACATCATAGTCCGGGATTTATTGAGTATCAAAACACAACAGGGAAGTCTGTTGGAATGAATTCTTCAGGATGTATTATGGTTTTTCACCATGGGATGGGTCCAGGCAATTGCAACGAAGAATTGATTTGAAATGAAGCTCTTAGTCCATGGACATTGTAGAAATGATAGAATATGATCCTAATTGTTCTTTTCAAATCGCTCTAGTACAAGGGAAAGGGGGCCAACTAGGGGAAATGCAGAACGGTAGAAAAGTAACATAAGCTACTAGAATTTACAACGACGACGATCTACTCTCCATTTGTGTTCTCTTCCCTGCTTGGGAAAGTGGATCAAGGAAAGGAAACTTGCTTCTCTCCTAGAATGATGGTGACGTATGTAGTGGCCGGCCTTCCTATCATAAATGTCTTTTTCGAGCTAGACGAGTCTAGAAAATGTGAGGCTCAATGAATGAGTTACACAAGTGGTGTGAAAATAAATTAAAATAAATTTCAGATTGGAGTTCTAAAAGTCAACTACCTTTGTTGCATGATGCTAGAAACTACAAAGCTATGGTTAACAAACAACAGTCAAGGCCTGGCCATAACAGAAGTTACACATTGGCAAGTAAATACTATCGATCTTAGGCAAAAATTTACTTAAAAATAAATTTAA